CCATCTCTGGCGATGTGGAGAGGAGGACGGTACTTTCCTCCACATCTGGTGGAACTGTGCCCTCATCCGACCGTTCTGGGAAGCGATACATCAAGTCATCCACACTGCTATTGTGTACATAGTTTAAACTAAGTGACAGATAGGTTGAGGAGGCAGTGACTGTGGCGGTGTAGGTGGAAGCAGCGGTGGAGGAGGAGGAGGTAGCCAACACTGTTTTTTATATATATATATTTTTTTAATTGGGGGTAGCACCCAAAATATTTGGACATATCAAAAAAGAAAACTCTTTTCCGCAGAGCGACTGACCCATGCGTGCTGCAGCTGAAACTCCACTATCGCCTGCTGCTGCTCGCACAGTCTCATGAGGCGGTGAGCGGGAAGGCCGAAGTTAAGCTGCAGCGCAAATAGGCGAACAGCAGCAGGGTGAGAACACCGAAAGCGTGCACAGACTGCCCGTACTTTCTGCAGCATCTCTGATATATCTGAGTAGTTTTTCAGGAATTTCTGCACCACCAAATTCAGCACATGCGCCAGGAAAGGGATGTGCGTCAAACCGGCTAGGCCCAGAGCTGCTACGAGATTTCACCCATTATCGCACACCACCAGGCCGGGCTTGAGGCTCAGTGGCAACAACCACTCATCGGTCTGTTGTTCCATGCCCGTCCACAGCTCCTGCACGGTGTGGGGTTTTTCCCCCAAACATATGAGTTTTAAAACAACCTGCTGTCATTTCCCCCTGTCTGTTCTGAAGTTGGTGGTGAAGGTGTTACGCTGACCGGATGAGGAGGTGATAGAGGAGGAGGAGGAAGAAGCGGAGTAGGAGGAGGAGGCAACAGGAGGCAAAGCTGTGTACCCAAATAAAGATTGTCAAACGTTGTATCCTAGAACTGTGTCCCATCGAGTTACTGGGGAAATGGGTCTGACCTATTCTAATCAAAGGGGATAACCATCGGTTACCTAGGTCCCACTTCAATTGGTGGCAAGCGGCCGGATCCCATGTCCCTGCCAACAGACCCATGGACTACAGTGCTCTAAAGCGACCTACACTGCAGGACTTGTGTGGAGCCAGAGGAATAACGCCTAGTGGGCGTAACAAGGCTGAATTGACTGCTGCGCTCATGGAGGCCGACCAGGCACGCAGTGAGGCAACGAACCCCAGCCAGGGGCCGGAGATGAGGAGGAAGTGCGCAAGGAGGTGGAACGGCACCTGGCATATTACCGAGAGCCACCCTCAGAGGAGATTGTCAGCAGGACTTTTTTGGAGGTGCAAGCCTATGTCCTTGACAATAGACAGAGGGCGACCTCCATGAACCCAGATGAAGGAAGAAGGGAGCAAAGGGCGCCGGGAAGCACAACCACCCTGGCACACAAGCTACCATACAATTCCTTCAAAGAGTTCAAGGAAGGCATCGATGACTTTGAGCGCCAGTCCCTACTCCAAGACGTGGACCCCAGCGACTAGGTCACCATCCTGGCCAGCGGATATTTACCGGGCTGTACCAGAAGAGCAGATCATAGACTATCCCTTTATTACACACATCCTCCTGGCCCGGTATGCGGTCACCCCCGAGCAATACCGCCAAAAGTTTAGGGAGACCCGAAAAGGGGAGGACTCCCATGCGGAGTGGACATGCCGCATCACAAGGGCCACCCAGGACTGGCTCAACTCCCATCAAGCCAAGTTCCTGGAGGAGATCACCCAGCTCGTCATGCTAGAGCACTTTTTCAATGGGCTCCCCAACGACATGGCTGGTGAGAGACCTCCAGCCCCAGACCCAAGAAGTATTGGTAAGAGCTGCTGAAGCTAGCTCACGATATCCCCTTGGCAGGGCATTTGGGCAGGAGCCGGACAGCGTCTCGGCTCACCCACAGCTTCTTCTGGCCAGGCATCTCTCAGGATCTGAGGCAGTACTGCCAGATGTCTGCCAGAGAGTGGGGAAGAGGGCCCCCCTCCATCCCCTACCTATTAGTGAATATCCGTTTGGCAGAGTAGCTGTCGACATTATAGTTGTGCAGGCACTTTGTTGACTCTAGAGAACCTCAGGCCAATCGGACGTCCCTGTGACTGCGACTTTGCATTCAGATGTCTGCCCTATCAACTTTCGATGCCACTTTCTGCGCCTACCATGGTGACCATGGTTAACAGGGAATCATGGTTGGATTCCAGAGAGGGAACCTGAGAAACGGCTACCACATCCAAGGAAGGCAGCAGGCGCACAAATTATCCACTCCCGAAGCGGGGAGGTAGTGACGACAAATAACAATACAGGACTCTTTAGAGGCCCTGTAATTGGAATAAGTCCACTTGAAATCCTTTAACTATGATCAATTGCAGGGCAAGTCTGGTGCATGCTGCAGCTGAAACTCCACTATCGCCTGCTGCTGCTCGCACAGTCTCTCCAGCATGTGCAAGGTGGAGTTCCACTTTGTGGGCACGTCGCATATGAGGCGGTGAGCGGGAAGGCTAATGTTACACTGCAGTGCAGACAGACGAGCAGCAGCAGTGTGAGAACGCCGAAAGCGCGCACAGCCGCTACAGTGAATGTCACATCCTGTTCCAAGTTGCGGATCAGTCTGGTGATGGCTTCTGGTATCCAGTACTCTTTTTACTGAAGCTTCATCAGGGTCCTGGTATGTGGCCGCACAAACGCTGGTGCTCAACACCCAGGGTCGTGCGGTTATCCTACACCAGACTCTGCTAATCCATTCCACACTGTGACTCCTAACTTCAACATCAGGCATAGTGGGTCCTGGTCATCGGACTGCCCTCCTGACTGTGAAACTACGAATGGCTCGTTAAATCTGGTACTAACCCAAATTTTGAAGTTCGGATTCGCTCAACTCTATTATGGATCCTTTGATCGTTACATCTGTTACTTGGATAACTGGTAATTCTTGAGCTAATACATGCTGACGGGCGCTAGGGGACGGCCGCTCCGCTTTTGCACCCTGCTCCCTCTTATGCTGTGCTGATGCCTCTGTGCGAACAGCGCCTCTTCCTCCAAACTGCACACGTCACTCGCATGACCTTGATTCCATGTGGGGTCTAGGACCTGATCATCCTCCACATCATCTTCCACCCACTCCTCAACCCTGCCCTCCTTGCCGGTCTGCACACTGCAGAAAGCCACAGCAGTTGGCACCTGTGTTTTTCCAGCATATAAACTCTGCAAAGGACATATAGGAATTGTTTTAGAATTGCATCCAGGCAACAGTTTTCCCTATAAACTGACCTCTCAGTTTAACTTGTGAGGTTATTGCCCCCGAATTACAATATTGTTATATTGGTATTTGACAGTTCTATTTGACTGTCAGATATGAAGTGCAGGCCACAAATGTACTATTTAGCACCCAAAACAATTAGAATTTTTTAAAGTGCACTGTAAGCACAGTGTTTTTACAACTGCACTGTAACCGCACTATTTGACGCTTCTATTTCACTCTCATATATGAAGTGCACCCCACTAATGTACTATTTAGCAGATTAGCACCCGGAAAATAAGAATGTTTACAATTGCGCTGTAACCGCATTATTTGACGCTTCTATTTGACTCTCAGGTATGAAGTGCACGCCCCAAATTTACTATTTAGCAGTTTAGCAGCAAAACAATTAGAATTTTTAGAACTGCTCTGTAACCAGTGGTGTATTTTGGATTTATGCTGCCCTAGGCACCACTAAATTCTGGCACCCTCAAAATCTAAATGTGACCCTCCAATTCGTGTCAAGGCCACTTTTTGACTGACAGACACATGCCCTCATTGATACATGCACTGATATACACTCACTGACAGATACAGTCATTGGCACACACATACAGTCATAAGCACACACTGTTTAACCAACACACACTTTCACTGACAGACACACACTGACTCACACGCACTCACTGACAGGCACACACTCTCAAATACACATAAAATGTCTGGGAGCAAATGCCATGTTTGCCTTGTGGTAAATACATCCCTGGCTGTAACAGCACTATTTGACACTTCTATTTGACTCTCAGATATGAAGAGCACCCCACTAATGTACTATTTAGAAGTTTAGCAGAAAAACAATTAGAATTTTTAAAAATGCGCTGTAAGCACAGTGTTTGACGGTTCTATTTGACTATCAGATATGAAGTGCAGGCCGCAAATGTACTATTTACACGGCCGTCTTTAAAGCGGGGCAAACGGGGCAGCTGCCCCGGGCCCACTTGCTCCTGGGGGGCCCAAAGCAGCTACCCCGTGGGCCCCGCTGTCTGCTACCCCCTGGGCCAGCCGGTGCTGCGGCTGCACCGGGAGCCCCCACACTAAGAGGCCCCTGTCAGCACTTTGGCCCCCTTGTTTTACGGCAGCAGGCTGGGAGGAAGTGACTGCCGTAAGTCACTTCCTCCCAGATATAATGAAGCCGCGCGGGATGGAGTAGGAGGCAGTCAGGAGGGATCTGGAGTGCAGGAGCCTCACACTCCCAACTACCTCAGCCTGCCGCTGGACCCCAGGGAATCCATAAGGTAGGGCTGGAGGGTGGCTTTATAAATGTAAACTTTGCATGTGTGTGTGTCAGTATTTGTGTGAGTCAGTATGTCTGTGTGTGTCTTAGTATGTGTGTGAGTATGTATGTCAGGGTTTCTGTGTGTGTCTTAGTATGTGTGTATGTGTGTTAGTTTGTCTGTCAGGGTATTTGTGTGTCAGGGTGTCTGTGTGTGTCAGTAAATCTGTGTGTGTGAGTATGTGTGTCTTAGTATGTCTGTGTGTGTCAGTATGTCTGTCAGGGCTTATGTGTGTATGTCAGTATGTCTGTGCATGTCATGTCTGTGCATGTCAGTTTGTCTGTGTGTGTCAGTATGTCTGTCTTTGCGTGTCAGTATGTCTGTGCGTTTCAGTTTGTCTGTGAGTGTGCATGTCAGTTTGTCTGTCACTGTGTCAGTATGCCTGTCAATGTGTAAAAATGTAAACGTTGCATGTGTGTGTCAGTATTTGTGTGTGTCTTAGTATGTCTGTGTGTATCTAAGTATGTGTGTGTGAGTATGTCTGTCAGGGTGTCTGTGTGTGTATCAGTATGTCTGTCAGTGTGTGTCACTATGTCAGTGTGTCATTATGTCTGTCAGTATGTATATCTGTGTATCTGTATTTAGTATATCTGTTTCTCTATGTGGTCTGTGTGTCTTTGCATGTGTCTCAGGTTTTGTATATGCGTGTCTGTATGTGTGTCAGTGTGTGTATCTGTAAGTTATCATTGTATGTATTTGTGTATCTGTACGTTGTCAGTGTGTGTACCTGCGTTTGTATATCTGTGTGTGTGCATCTGTATGTAGTCAGTGTTTTTATCTGTGTATCTGCATGTGTGTCAGTATATGTATCAGTGTGTCTGAGTATTCATATGTGTCAGTGTTTGTATATTTGTCTCCGTATGTGTGTCAGGTTGTGTATCTGTGTGTCTGTATGTGTTAGTGTGTGTATCTGTGTCAGTCTGTATCTGCTTGTGTGTTAGTGTGAGTGTCAGTGTTTATATCTATGTATCTGCATGTGTTTCAGTGTGTATTTGTGTATCACAGTGTGTGTGTGTGGCAGTGTATGTGTACATGTACGTACATCTCATCATTCAAATCGCCAACACTACACACAAGTACACCCCTGCATTCAACCTTCAACACTACATACAAACACAGTCCTACATTGAAACGTAAACAATACATACAAATACATCTTTGTGTTAAACACCAAAAATATATATAAACACACCCAGCATTAAAAAAAAAAAATACACAGATGCATGCTTGCATTCAAACACCAACACCACCTACAAACACACCCCTACATTTACACAAACACACTCCATACAAAAACATGCTTCCATTCAAACACACAAACACAACTCAGTGCTAAATACAACTCTGCAAGCATGGGAAAATGGTTCTGTTACTGCGTTGGGAAGTGGAGATCGTGATTGCATGCCAGGGAGTTAGGGTCAGGGGGCCCTATCAAATGCTTGCCCCGGGCCCAATCATTATTAAAGAGGGCCCTGACTATTTAGCACCCAAAACTATTTGAATTTTTCAAAGTGCGCTGAAAGCACAGTATTTGACGCTTCTATTTGACTCTCAGATATGAAGTGCAGGGCCCAAATTTACTATTTGGCAGATTAGCACCCAGAAAATAAGAATGTTTACAATTGCGCTGTAACCGCACTATTTGACGCTTCTATTTGACTCCCAGATATGAAGTGCACCCCACTAATGTACTATTTAGCAGATTAGCACCCAGAAAATAAGAATGTTTACAACTGCAATGTGACAGCAGTATTTAACGCTTCTATTTGACTCTCAGATATGAAGTGCACCCCACTAATGTACTATTTAGCAGATTAGCACCCAGAAAATAAGAATGTTTACAATTGCGCTGTAACCGCACTATTTGACGCTTCTATTTGACTCTCAGATACGAAGAGCATGCCCAAAATGTACTATTTAGCAGTTTAGCAGCAAAGCAATTAGAATTTTTACAATTGCGCTGTAACCGCACTATTTTACGCTTCTATTTGACTCTCCGATATGAAGAGCACTCCACTAATGTACTATTTAGCAGATTAGCACCCAGAAAATAAGAATGTTTACAATTGCGCTGTAACCGCACTATTTGACGCTTCTATTTGACTCTCAGATACGAAGAGCATGCCCAAAATGTACTATTTAGCAGTTTAGCAGCAAAGCAATTAGAATTTTTACAATTGCGCTGTAACCGCACTATTTTACGCTTCTATTTGACTCTCAGATATGAAGAGCACTCCACTAATGTTCTATTTAGCAGATTAGCACCCATAAAATAAGAATGTTTACAATTGCGCTGTAACCGCACTATTTGACACTTATATTTGACTCTCAGATATGAAGTGCACCCCACTAATGTACTATTTAGCAGATTAGCACCTAGAAAATAAGAATGTTTACAATTGCTCTGTAACCGCAGCATTTGACGCTTCTATTTGACTCTCAGATATGAAGAGCACGCCCAAAATTTACTATTTAGTAGTTTAGCAGCAAAACAATTAGAATTTGTACAACTGCGCTGTAAGCGCAGTATTTGAAGCTTCTATTTGACTCTCAGATATGAAGTGCTCCCCACTAATGCACCCAGAAAATTTTAAGTTTTAAAACTCGAATGTGACAGCAGTATTTGACACTTCTATTTGACTCTTAGATATGAAGTGCACCTCACTAATGTACTTTTTAGCACCCAAAAAAATTGACTTTTTAAAACTCCGATGTAACCGCAGTATTTGATGCTTCTATTTGACTCTCAGATATGAAGTGCACCCCACTAATGTACTAGTTTGCAGAATTATTTCCTAATCTGTCCCTGAAAGTGGCAGCATCCTCTCCCTACACTAATAAGAGCTCATGTGC